ATTAAAATACGTCGGATTGTGCGTAGACATCATCACCTGGGAGAGGAGACAAGTACAGAAGAGAAAAAAGAGGTGTCAGCTTCAATTGTCCTACTAATTCTATGCTTATCCACGTTGATTGCTTCACTCCCGCAGAGTATTGCCTACATTGTCTCTTTTATCCTACCGTCTGTTATGTCACCTGAGTCATCCCGTGGACCATTACGTCTGGCCTATAATATTGCAGATATTTCATGGCATTTTATATTTATTCAATCATCATGTAATATTTTTATTTATGCTAAACGTATCAAGAGATTTCGATTCGCCTTGTGGAGTATATTAAAGTGTCAAATATCACGTCTTCATCATCAGCAGCAACATTACGATACTAACAATATGTCGAATTATGCAGATTCAGCTCGAACGACTACACGAGTGACGACAAAAAATACTGGTGTATAAAAAGTGTGCCGATTGTCTTTTCCTTTTCTGCCTTTAATATAAGGTGTTGTGTGCGTCAATCAAACTTTCTATACTTTTACTGTTAGATGGTTTATTCCGTCCAATACTACTGCCCCACTGCGTCACCTCCTCTGTATCTTGTATCTTCTCTTTTTCCAAAATTGTTTTATTTTATTTTAATGAAAGTGCTAAATGTTCAAGGAGGTTTGAGTATCCGAGTTTAACCAACAGAGAAGAAGAAGGAAGGAAGAAAACGAGAGAGAGGAATTTACCTTCTAAAATGTGTTCTTTTTCTATCCCCTTGTCACATGATGAATAATCCTAGTGTGAAGATATTACATTGGAAAGAAAACAAGGCGAATAATGTCATCCAGTGAAAGAGGCTTCCTATCTCGTGGTGAATTCATTTTCCTCACTAACTGTACAGTCGCATTTATTATATACAATCAATCCTCTTTTCTTTTCATGAAGTAAGATAGTAACAAAAGTATTGGTTTTGATGCTCACTAGTGACTACTGGCCCTATTCAGGTGCAGTTTATCTGGGGTTCTAGTGGGAAGCCGTGACCAATAGGGTACAGCAGATTGAAGATGAGGCAGTAACTCATCGAAGAAGACATTGTGAAGTGGTCACGCTATGTCGTGAATTGGGAGAAGTAAGAATTCAAGGACCATTGGATTGGGTCCCAATGGCTTAATGGTCTACGAGCAGCTCGCTAGCCTTGCAACCAGAAGGTCCTGGGTTCAAACCCTGGTGAGTCCCAAACTAGGCTGACGAAACAGCTTTCCAGTACTCCCTGGTGGTTTTCTAGTGGCTCTCTAACTGATGTCAACTCATGATGAAATCTTAACATTCAGTAACAAAAGTGTTGATTTGTCGCAGTTATATTGACTAATACAAGCTGGAAAACAAAAATCTAGTCAGCAGAAATCACCAAGGCTGTTGTTATCATGATAGCAGTAGTGGTTATATAATTTTTCTTTTATATTAATAGCTTAGCTTTCTCTAACTGAATGGCTAAAGTGTCACCAATCTATGGGAGGTGAAAGTGTATCGTCTTTTGGTAGATTACTTTGAAGGAGAGGGTTTGTTGAGATGAAATAATAACCAGTGTTGACAAGGTGTTTGATTATTATCACACTGCTTATAGGGTCACTACTACCTTTCTGCAGCTTATGCGAGGCTAGTATTCTTACATAATTCCATATTTTCTTTCATTTCTGTATGTATTCTGACCCAAAATCACTCACTGAATTACTTGTCTTATTGCGTAATTGCAAGACACTTATTCAAATGCATTGTATGTTTTGACAACTCACTATTACCCTTTTTCATGAAAAGGAGATTTTTATGTAAATGCGATTGTACACCTAAAGGAGAAAATGAATCCTCTGTAAAGACCTTCTTTGCTGAACTGTGCGTTTTATTTCCCGTTTTCTGTCTATGCATATGCGGTTGATTAACAGACGAATCATGAACCGTTCAAAAGAAAGTTGAAAACCAGGGGACCACCTGATGACAAGTGTTTCGGTGTGTGTATGCATGAGTCTACCAGGGATGGAACCGGCAGCCTTTGCGTTATGTAGCGAGGTCGTTGACCACTGACTCCAGCACTCCATGGGGAGGGGGTTAAGTGATCTGTGAATTTTATATTCGTCTGATTTGCAGTATAATGGTTTGTGATGCAATTGACTGAAATCTTCAAGTATTGGTTTTGTAGGGATTTTGTTTGATTGCATGCAGGAGCTCGCCTTGTAACCAGAAGGTCCTGGGTTCGAACCGTGGCGATTGGTGCGTACTTCTGAAGAGTCCCAGACTAGGACGAAACAGCTGTCCAGTACTCCCAGGTTTTCCAGTGGTTCTCTAACTGATGTCAGCTCATGATTAAATCCTCCATGACTGAAATCTCTTTAGAAAACTCGAAATTTGAAAAATTTACCTATGAAATTCTCATTGACTGTTGGTTCATTTGTTTTTGTTTTTTTAAAAATTAATTTTGTCACTGTATAGTTCAGGAATTATTTAGGCAGTTTGATAAGTATTAATTTATTTAGGCATTTTAGGGGGTTTTGCATTTCATTCGGTTTGTTTTGTTCATGAGTAGCTTTCCAGGGTATGCAATAACACCCTAGCTACATTATCATTATTATTACTATTATTGTCCCCTTGGGTTCCGAGTGGAACATAGGGCTTTGATCTCTTCTGACTGACTGACTGACTCACTCACTCACACTGATGATCCTTTCGGGTTCTACTTGAGTGCTGGCTTAGCGCGCGCGACGTCATCCAACGGTCTACTCAGTGTATGCCCACTCCCTTTACATTTTCTTAACTAAGTGTGAAGTGTAAATTTATCTCTTTTTTTTTTACCAACTTTTCAATTCAAATTATGTCGTTTTTTTATTTAAAAACCAAAATCTGCTTAACTCAGTGGTAGTATATAATCTATCACTCTATGAAGTATATGAAATTAACTTATTGCATGAAGTATACCTGATTGTTTGGTTTGGCTTATGTGTAAAGCGATTTATAACACTGTGGTTATTTTGAAGAGGTATTTGAAAATATTACTAATAATTTTATGCATTGTGTCATATATGTGTAGTCGCAACTCTGATTTACAGTATGTAAATACTATTGGTAATAATAATGGTAATAATATTAACAGTAATCTTTAGATGCATAACTTTCTTTCCAATCTTAAGATTGTCTGGCTGACTGACTTCATTATAAAACTTTACACAAAAGTGCAGCAGTTCGAGTCTCCACACTCCATTCACTACATACAAAAAAGAGAGGAAAAATAGATCCAGGAGAATTAAAAATAAGCTGAAATGTGAGGGAGAAAAAATAGTTACATGGAAAAACAATCGGGATTTTGAATATATATGTATATGGCAGATCTCAAGGAGTGAATGCATTATAGGCCATTGTGAATGATATTGAGTCAGTGTCCACGATCGGTTGGCTCAAACTAACTGTTAACCATCTCATGGAGTGATTTTATGTTTTCCTTTGACGATCACTCTAGCTTTTTTTTTCAAACCTAATCCTATGTTAGCTAATACTACTCGTCAAGGTAGACGATGGCTAGGTATACGCAACAGATATCCCAGCTGTCTTAATTGAATCACCCTCACAACCTCATCAAGAGAAAGAGATAGATCTGGAAAGGTACATCAGTTGACAGTATAGGTGGTGAAGTGTCGAATAATAATTAGTTTTTTTATTCCTTCACGTTTCCAGTGGAACATAGGGCTTCGAACTAGAGGCTTGAAGTTTCCGTATCAGTGGTATTTATTTTTACAGGATTGGGTTGCTAGCCTCATGCCAAACTTTTCCTCTTTACCAGCTTTTTTTATAACTGGCTTAGCGAGAAATAGGAGTGCACCGGTCGGGGATCGGACCCCGAACCATGTGCATGGTGGGTGAGCGTCCTAACCGCTGTGTCACCGATGCACCGACGAATAATTAGTGTTATTCCTTAATCTGTATGTATGCTATTCTAATCTTTCTTAATTTGACTATCAATTAGTTAGATTTATCGTAGCTTAGGAATTTAGCTAGATCTGGAATAACTGACCCCGTTAACTTAAATGATCTAGAAAAAAGCTCCACCAGTTGCATGCAGTGATCACACAATCCCGATGGGATAGCATAAAATTATCCTAAAGTAATTAGAGTTAGGTTAATCATCTAACCTTTATTTCATTGTGTAATCGAAATGACGCAATACCTATCTCAGATATATGAGAAATTGCAATAAATAATTTTTCATCGGCTGGAGTATTTCATCGTGAGGTGACATCCTCCAACCAATTAAATCCCAAAATCACTACATAAACCAATACTTCAAGATAATTTTTGAAAAAAATAGGAGAGATTCAGGCTACGAAAGGTAAGTTTGGAAATCTTATGAATATATATCTATATGAGATTAAAAGCATTAACTTGTGCTTGAAATGTCATCCAGTTATAGTAGTAATACTGTATTACTGAGTCTTATATCAAATAAATTTATCTTATATTGAATTAAGGAACTCAGTATTGGCTAATTAGTTAGTTAGAGTTCACCACTCAAAAGAAAACATTTACATCGAACTTCATGCTCTACGTTTTTAAGCTTCGGCAGCTCTTGTGTTGCTTGTACGGGATAGAGTTGCTAGCCATACAAACACACCCAACTTCCTGTGTTTACCCAGCCGGCTTACCACTGGCTAGTAAGGAAGATTTAGGAGTGCGTCCGCCGGGAATTGAATCCTAGATCATGTGTGTGTGTGTGCGTATGTTTGACGGGCATTCTATTCTTCAACCCCAGCGACTCACTATTGTTACATTCTGATTCACGAGATAACTAACATACATAAGGAAAATTCACTACACCTCTTATCGGCTTTCCCTTAAAGTTTATATGAAAGTAATTCAGCCTCTTGATAATAATATTGCCATACTTATGACTTTAGTGAATGCTTCCTTTTTGTGCACACAGTAATTAATACCTTTTGTTTCTTTTTGGCCGGGGGTGGGGTGGGGTGTGGTGATATTTCTTCTTTTAGAATCCTAATATATACTCAACTAAAAATGCTACTGCGAACAACAACAACAGTAATAATAATAATGAAATGTGTAATTTTATGTTTCCTGGATTATTTTCCTTGCTGGATTCAATATCTCAAAATGGTGAATTATCTCAATTATCAGATTTATTAAGTCATATGTATCAAATACAACGGAAACAGCATGAAAATCGAGGTTGGTTTACATTTTGTTTTTTAGTGTTAATTTGGTGTATTGCTATTTGTTTATTATCTTGTAACTGCAGAAGGCAAAATACGGAGACCAAGGTATATTTTTAGTTGATCAAACCGCTCTCTCTCTCTCTCTGTGGGAATATGTGAGAATAATATTCCGTCGGCACATATTGTCTGTATCATAGCACTACACTAGTCTCCCGTCAAATGCTTTCCACTGCAGTGGGTTCGGTCTTCTTGGTGCTGGCGGTTTTGCTTGCTCATCTTGCTATATAAACTTCCAGAGCGCGTTGACGTTTAGCCGCTTCTCTTTGTTTGCATTTCTGATCGTATATATGTTACCCCATCTCATGCTGATCGTATATAGTCCTTCCTACTTTAGAAGCATTTTACATACCCCTGACTGTCGCGTATTCCCCGGTATTTCGCCCCACGCTATCATATGCTGCTTTCTTCCAACCTACCGGCAACGTTCCAAGTAACTGCCTCATCACTGAAGGATCTTGAACGCCATTCAGCTTCGTAGTCCTACAAGAAGATTCATATGTCTTCTTCTTCAAAAACTGCAGGGTATAGGCTTTCTATTTGTCGGTAGGCAGCGACACAAAATATAACAGCAGATAGTAAGATACGGAAACCAAGGCATATTTTCAAGTGATCAAACAGCTATTTATATCTAAACAGTTTTATAATCTTTAACCACTCACTGAGCGTGTGATTTCGGTTTACACTAGACGACATGAAATAAGATGTTTAAACACGTATATGTAGTATTCTGTTGCTAATTCAGTATTGAACTGTGGGAATATGTGAATATGCATCAACAACAAAATTCGGATTTTCAATACAAACGTAAAGTCAGTTCTTCTATAAGGATCAGAAACTTGGCGAGCCGGTCACAAAGAATATTTCCAACATTTTATTTTTTGATTACAGCTTGATTCCACAGCGTATTTTTGGTACAAGTATGGAATTTTCAGTGTGGATATCGGTAGCCCAAATTTCGCAGGCCGACCATAGATATCAGGTGTGCGTCGGCAGGGAATCGAACCTCGGACCATGTGCATGATGGGCGAGAGTCCTAACCACTGTGCCACCGACGCACCATCCTGTTGCAGACCTTTATCAACAACTGTCTTCGCTGGCTCTATACTGAAGATCAGATGGCCGGGCCGGAAAGAATCACCAACAAGGAACTATGGGAACAAACAAAACAAGAACCAATCGCCGCCCAACAAATATGCAGGAGAAAATTGAGATGGATCGGACACTCTCTGAGGAGACCGCTGGGTAACATCGCGCACGTCAGGCCATTGCTCGAGTGGAACCAGGCCGAAAGGGAAGCGGCGAGTGGGACATCAGTGCAAGGGTGACATGGAAGAGATTGTGTGAAGAGAGAGGAGTTGAAAGAATATGGATGCAGGTGAAAAGTACAGCAGAAGATAGAAGCAAGTGGAGACGTGCAATTGAAGCCCTATGTTCCACTAGGAACCTAATGTGTAAGAATAATATTCCGTTGGTACAGATCGTCCGCATCACACCTTCACAATCTTATTGCCGTATTAGTTTTCTTAGACATGAAACAGTGATATAAGCAAGGGTAGTTATCTAAAAGAGAAGTCTGGATTGTTTGGCATTCTTTATTTACAAGAAAATTACGGGAGATTGGATTGTTATATCATCTTAGTTTGGTACTTCACAGGTTTACACAGCTGAGTTCGAGCTCAACAAACAGGTGAACAGTCATTGGGTTGTAATCCTACAGTTTGTGAATTCCGACTTTTGAATGTTGATCCTTTCTTTATTCATTATTGGAAAACCTTCAGATTTCTTAATATCCTAACAAGTTATTGAGATCAAGGTTGGCTGTGAAAATGGTTGCTTTCCAGTATTTTTGAATGGCAGTGGCGTTATGCTTCGACTTGACAGAAACCAATAACTTGCTCTCCTTGAAATGTCAGAGATGTTACCACTGAGCTGTTCGGGCTCAATATTACATCGCTTTTGTGTTTCAAAACGGCTAAGTACACTCAGCTGTCGTGAATACATATTTGTATATACTGTTTAGACGCTCTTAGTTAGATAATGAGATTTAACTTTCTTCCATCAGGTATAGAAAAAGATTGCTAAACTCCAATTTATTATAAAAATCGTAATGTTAAACAATGGCAATGAAATTTTTCATGTTCCATCTTTAGATAACACTTCACTAAAAATCTTTACTATGCTCTTGCATTTTCTAATTAAAACAAAGCGCCTCTGGTAGGTTAATATGCTAACTCATTAGGCTTTGTTTTTAACTGACAAATACTGTCAACAAAATATCTGGTGTAAAACCTGTATTATTATTATTATTATTATATGTATTATTATTTAGGAAGTACCATCAGCCAGTGCCAACGGGTTGATCTCTGACGAAATCTCAGCACGAATACAGGGGGGCTCGTTTCGCATTTGCCAATTTACGCCGACTCCGGCGTAGACGAGATGTTCGACTATCGACCAAAGGGCGGGTGTACTGCTCATCAGTCCGCTCCGTCCTCCTTTATGGCTGGCTGTGAGACCTGGCCACTGAGAGTGGAAGACATGAAAACACTGACTAGCTGTCTTTGATCATAGGTGCCTGCGCTCTATTTCCCGTGTAAAGTGGCATAATAAGGTGAGCAATATTGAGGTTAGGCGTCGGTCGAGTTCTAGGTAAACAGGGGAAATCAATCGACGAAGTCGTGAAGTTACAAAGACTGAGATGGTTAGGACATGTGTTACGTGTATGCCTAGTCATCGCCTTCCGCGACGAGCAATGTTAGCAGATATAGGGTCAGGCTGGAAAAAGGCTAGCGGTGGTCAAACAAAAACTTGGCACCAGTCAATGAAATCCACAACAGTTAGTCTAAGCCACGTAGGAAGGTGTAGACTTCCAGGCTGGGGTCTTCGGGACGGTGGCACAGTGGTTAGCACTCTCGCCGACCATGCACATGGTCCGGGGTTCGAGCCCGCACCGATGCACACCTGATATCTATGGTCGGCCTGCAAAATTTGGGCTACCGATATCCATGCTGAAAATTCCATACTTTTACCAAAAATACAGTATGGAATCAAGCTGTAAATCAAAAATCAAAAATAAAAATAAATAAAAATCTATGGTTGGAAACAATTGGTGACATGGCTCAAAATCGTTCTCAGTGGCGCAGATGCATCCACTCCTTGTGACTTATGATCTCCAATGAAACTGTTTTATTCATCGTTATTACTATTCCTTTGTCTCACATCTCTGCTTACTGTCTCTATTATGCTTTTCTTGTGCTTTCTTCTCTTGCTTCGCGTGCTACACGGAGTGTGGCGACTTGAAGTGTCGCACATTTATGCAAAGTTCTATGTCGAAAACAGACAGACAGACAGACAGATTATTATTTCCTTGGGTTCCGAGTGGAATGTAGGGCTTCAACAACACATCTCCACTTAGCTTTATTTTCTGCTATCCTCTTCAACTGAGTTCACGGTTGACCATATGCTCTCATCTCCTCCTCCCCACATGATCTCCTCCATGTCACCCTTGCACCGACGACCCAATCCTCGCTTCTCATTTGGATTCTACTCTAGTGATGGCGTGCACTGAACACGATGTCATTCGATGTTCTCTTCAAAGCATGCCCGATCAATTCATCTCTATTTTCTCCCACATTTTTTTTAACAATAGGCCTGTTGGTTTGTTCCCAAAGTTTCTCCTTACATATTATTTCTGGCCATTTGATCTAGATTATGGAGCCAGCTTTAGGGGAAACTGTTGATGAAAGTCTGCAACGGGCTGCTGGAAATCCTTTTTGTGACACGCTGTGCAAGTTTCTGACCAGTCTAGAAGAACTGACTGACTTGAAATCGGTGTTGAAAATCGGCATCTTGTTGTTTATGCTGACTGAGTGAGTGACAGCAGAAGATTTTCAAACTGGTTTCAGGCTGATGAAAGCGTACCTTGCCTCTCCGATTCTGTTTGGTTGACTGGCTTTGACATTTTCATATGTGCTTCCTGGCTGGATAAGTGAAGGATGTAACCTCTGTTAAATCTCCCCCTTTGATGTTAATTGGTGCTGGTTAGCGTTGCTGTTCGTTGGTTATCTGCATCATCTCCGTCTTCTCTGTGTTCACTGGAAGTCCTGTCTTCGCTCCCCGCCTCTTCAGCCAGTTTGTTGGTTCTCGCCTGTAAGTCTTTGAGTTTGTGTGACATTAGACATACATCATCTACAAGATCCAGATCCTCTAGAGTCTTCTTATCGGTGGTTCAGGGTATTCCTGTCTACTTGCTCCCACGCACAGTCTGATTTATTATCATAGCCTTTCTAATTTTTTGACAATATTTGATCCACCTATTGAATCGTAATACAAATTAACCTATTTAATAATCTTTTCAAATTTGTGTAGTTCATCCACTTCAACTTAACTCTTTTCAAACATCATATTAATTATAATAAATATCCACAGATATTATCAGTATCCTGGAATAATTTGAGCATTGAGTCAGAGTAGTTTAATATAAAATGTTTCTCAAAGTTTCGCTGTTTAATCTACAGCTTCTTCAACAAAATTACTTAGACTTTACTAAACATCCTGTTAGGGGAGGATACTGACAAAATGCAGAGTCTTCTGAACACCTTGAGCAGCAATCTTCGTATGTTTGGCATGCGATTCGCCCCTACAAAATGTAAGATGCTGCTACAGGACTAGGCCACGTCAACTCCTAACTTAGTGATAGGGAGTGAAGTGATAGAACATGTTGACCACTTCACCTATTTGGGAAGTTGTATTAGCACCAACGGACTGATTGGCGATGAAATCTCAGCACGGATCCAGAAAGCTCGAGCTGCTTTCGCTGACTTACACCATCTCTGGCGTAGGCGTGACATCCGGTTATCAACCAAGGGACGTGTGTACTGCTCATCAGTTCGCTCCGTCCTTCTCTATGGCTCTGAAACATGGCCAATACGCGTTGAAGACATGAAAAGGTTG